GGGCAGGATGTAAAAACCAACTTAGAAGAAACAGTGATTATGCACGGAAATGACAATTAAAAATCAAAAACAAGCAAAAAAAAACTTAAAGACATTATTAATATTCTGAAAATTGAGAAGGTTCATCTGTGAAACAAGAACACAATACTATTTAAAAGGAACAAAATATTTTTTATGCTAGCAGAAATGAAAAACTGATTAGAAAGATAAAAGATAAAGTTGAAAAAAAATCCCTCAGAAAGTAGAGCAAAATGACAGGTTAAAAACAGGAGAGAAAATATAAGAAAATTAGAGAACTCATCCAGTAGGTTCATTTTCAAAATAATAAGCATTCTAAAAAAGAGAAAACAAAATGGACAGACAGAAGTAATTTAAGAAAATTATCCCAGAACTGAGAGATGTGAGTTCCCAGAAGGAAAGGGTTTTACAGGTGCCAACACAGCAGATCCACAGCAAGGGATAATATGTTTATGAAATTTCAGAACACTTAGGAGCGAGAGAGAGATCGTATCAGCTTCCAGAAAGGAGAAACAAAAGGAAAAATAAACATGCTTTATACAGAGGATCAGGAATCAGATTGGGTTTGGACAACAGTCACACAGGAAGTTGGAAGACAGTGGAAAGGTAGACCTTTAAATTTCTGAAGAAAAATGACTTTTAACTTAAAAGAGTTCTATACTCAGCCAAATTGTATCAAGTAAAAGTGACGGTAAAGCCATTTTCAGCCATGGAGACTCAAAAATTATCTCCCACAAAAGCCTTCTTTTAGGAGGCTACTACTGAATGTGTTCCTAGTAAAATGAGGAAGTAACCCAAAAAGAGGAAGCTGTGGAACTAGGAAATAGGTAATCTAAGTCAAGAGAGAGGTAAAAGGAATCTCCATGATAGTGGTGAAGGGAAATCCCAAGACAGTAGCTGTACAGATGTCTAGGTGATAACCAGTCCAGATTTCAGCAGGTCAGAAGGCTTTGAGAGAGATTTAATCAAGACAATAACACTGATAGAATTTCTAATGTGTTCGATTTGAATGAGAAGATATTTAAAGAACTGGAGGAAATGGAGGTTGAGTTAGAGGAAAGTGCATTGAAACTGAGCAAAACAGATACTTATTAACTCCGGGATAAAAAGTATGCAGGAAAGGAAAAAATAGTAAAATATACTGTAAGACTCAGTTGTGAATAGTGTTGACAAAGTTACATGAAAGTCAATTTTATATATATATATGTATATATATATATATAAAGACCTGGTTCTAGACTGGGCTGAGATATTCCTGGGACACCTGGGAAGAACAATATAGAAGTACTTTGGAGGGATTTCCCAAGCCGTGTTGGCGTCCCACTGAAAAAAATAAAAACAAACACCAAAACCAACCATCCAAACAAAACCAATCAAAAAACGTCATACAAACCAAAAAACTCCTGCTGAAGATAAGCTTATAGTAAACATTTAAAAACGTGATTTTTTTTTTAATTGGAAGGAATTGAGCTACATAGTAAATATTAACGCAATTATGCCTGATGTTTTTTTTTTCCCCTTTACAGTCTAGAATTAATGTCTGATATTTAAGGTCATGAGTTGGTTTTAATGGTAAGATTTATTTTCTAATTTAGAAAAAACCAATTTTATTTTTAGTGTGCAATTCGTTTCTACACAATACACAGTGACACCATTTTAAAGTTATTTCTTAAATGAGATAAATCTAATTTTCTCAGTGTGATACTTCATTTCTTTTAACAGAGTAAAAAGAAATTTGAAAGAGAATGTAGAGAGGCAGAAAAGGCACAACAGAGTTATGAAAGATTGGATAATGATACTAATGCAACCAAGGCAGATGTTGAAAAGGTAAGAACTAATCTAAACTGACTTTGATATTTGCGTCAGTATAAGAATTCCCCAATAGATACACTGCATTAAAATCTAAAATATACAAATATTTGCCTACTTTAATTTACACATACTGGTCTGAGAAGATAATTAATATGTGCTAATGTCATTTATTGATCAAAACTGTAATATCTTTGCTGCATTCAAAATGCATAAGAAAGACATAATTGCTATTGGGAGTGAGCTTCCAGTCACAAAAGAAAAACAGTAGAAAGCCTAAGGTGTGATAATGGGGTATGCAATTGGGGGTTGGGTAATTTGCTTCCCCAGCTTTACTGAAGGGAATACATAATGAAACTGTTAGAAGTACATGATATTAAGTATTTATGTATGTATGTATGCACTCATTCATTCATTGATTCATTCACTCATTTTTGGAACACCAAATTCTCTTGTCACTCACTAATTGATTTTGGGCCAGATGTTCTGTAGCATAATTATCAGTAGTATCAACCCTGTAACCACTGCCATTTAGCTTCCCTTCCCCACGCCTCCCATACCTTTTGCAGTCGAGTAGATGCAACCTATAGCGACTGTGTAAGGACAGAGGAGAACTGCCCCATAGAGTTTCCAAGGCTATAATCTTTACAGAAGCTGACTGCCACATCTTTCTCCCACAGAGCGGCTGGGGTGGGTTCGAACTACCAACATTTTGGTTAGCAGCCGAGTGCTTAATCACTGAGCCACCAGGGCTCCTTGTTTTCTCCTTAGGATTTTATAATTCCCTATAGGATCAGAATGAGAAAAACGAAAGAAGGAAGAGAGGAATAATTTATATCCTGCCTCCCATTATCTTTATCAATTAAAAAAAACAAAAACAAAACCTTAAAATCACATAAATTCGTGGTTAAAATTACCTTAAAGGTCTCCTGGTGTAACTGATGCTCGTGTCTTTTCTACCCTATCATGATGTCTTTAAGTATGTTCCCCGTTGTTAGAAATATACAATTTTAAGGGAGTCTGTTCACTTTCTTTTTTTCTTTTCAGCTTTAATAATTCCTTGTATTAACCTCACTCTGTCTCCCTGCTCAGTTTTAGTTTCTTTGAGGTACCATAGGAAAAAAATCCAATCTATTTTTTCATGTAACAGCTTTTTAGATATTTGTAGATAGTTTCTTGACCCCTAGATGAGTCATCTCATTTCTTCAACTATTCCATTTATGAAACAGCTTCAAGTTACCTTTCATTCTGACTACTTTCCTTTGGATACACTTTAATTCATCAATAGCTCACTTAAAGTACATTACCTCAAATTGGATATAATGATCCAGGTATGGTCTAATCAGTCATGAGTTTGATTACCTCTCTTTCTGAATGCTAAATTTGTATTAATATAGTCTAAATGAGTATCAGCTTATTGGACACCACATTGTTTGGATTGATTCCCATTAGGTTATGGTTAACTAAATTCCCCATGTCTTTTCTCACATATGCTGTGGTGTATGAATGTGTGTTTCTCAAACAGAACTTGGACTGTTGGTATTTTAAATTTGTATGTCCATCTGTATTAATTATTAGTTTCAATCCTGTTGTTAAGATTTTTGGATCTTGATTTTGATCATCCATTATATTAATTTCCTTTCTAGCATCATGTCATACACTTGATTGATCATCATGTTATGAGTGCTTGATACAAATGTGGACCACAACAAGTTGGAGATAGCACTATTTTATACATGGGAGACTTCCCTGCAGGTTGACACTGACTCCTTAAGAAATCATTTGGCTTGTTCCCAAACATTGGTTGAGTACACTATGTGCTAGGCAAGTTAAGGTTACTCTTTAACTGGCCTCTCATTTAACTTATTTTTTCATCTTGTCTACAGGGATATCATTAGAGACTAGTCAAACATCTTGAAATCTTGATATAACATGTCTACAAGTTAGTTTGGCATAATTTGTTCAGAATTAATGTTTACAGCTTCCTTTTGTATTTATTTATTTATTTTTTGCAACTCCTTTACTTGCTAGAGAATTAGGAATACTTTGAGGATTTGCTTTAGGAACTGAAGAGTTGGGGAATTCTGTTTTAAGTGACCAAGGAGAAAAGGGAACAAAGGGGGAAGCAACTCCTGATAAAAATTAAAAAAGAAAAAAAAAAGTGGTGGTGTTGGGGCAGGGAGGCGGGAGTAGGCAGATTACTGAGCTTCCTAAAGAAAAGGAAGGCTATACAGTTAGGTCCCTGGGTTAAGAACATCAGACTTATGGACAACTGGTACTTAAGAATGGGCTGCCATAAAGCCTCTTGTATTAAACATTTGAGTTAAATACACACAATGATTCGTAATAACAAATGCAGTCACTACTTTGTGACCCTCCTGAAGTGTTTCTTAAGTGTTACGCATAGAAAGGTAAAATATATACTATATGCTAAAACATTTGACTAACTGATGCTGAATAAGAATCATATTTACCTGTTCTGACTTACCTACAAATTCGACTTAAAGACAGATTTAGGAACTGATCTCGTTTGCTCATAACCCAGGGGACTGCCTGCCTGTATCTGTGGAGCCAAGAATATGCCAGTAGAATGGCTTCAGTTGTTTAGCTCCTAGCCTTATACTGTTACCTACTCTGCAGAAATCTCTGCCCCAAGTCACGGGAATCATAGCCGGTCAGAATTCTTAGGTTTTGTGGGGAGGGAATAAGTTGGACTCTTCCGTTCTAGCAGTTTGTTGTGGGAGGGGGATAAGAGGAAGGGGTAAATAAATGTATACCTAGGGTCCCAGATTGGAACTTCAAATGTATTTTTTGTAGAAATACTTTGGGCTGTGGTGTTTAGTTTCCATAGTACTTATTTATTGTAATCTTCAGGTACCCTGTGGATTAAATGGATTTTGGGGGGCTTATCTGAGATCTTGGCTACCATACTGACAAATGATGTGGTAGGTCAGTTTGTTCTTGAGTTCAGAAGAACTAACTTGTGGACTTATTGTTAGAAGGTCAGGGACTATATTTGTTGAAGCTGAAATTAGAACAGTGCACTGTTGCATTTACAACATGCTTTATAATTTACAAAACATTCTCATATGAAATGATTTATTTCTTGGAGCACTGTAGGAAATTGAGTTTAATTCTGTTTTTTCCTGTTATGTTAGAACAGTTGAGAAATTTGTTTAGATTCCCCTTTAATAAATTACAATTAACAATTGGTGTTAAGTATATATTCTAACATTCTAACCGATGTAGATAATACTAACTTGACTTAGGTGAAAAGCATTTCTGCAAGAAGAGATTGAAATGAACACAACTGTATTTCTTAAAGTAGCTGTGGTTTTGTAGAGAGATGGAAATCATTACTGAATTACTGTTATTAGAATATTATTAGAATAATTATTGGAATATTATTGTTCCTTTCTACTTAAAACACGTTCTTTTTTCATTATTTGGTCTCACTCGAGTCTGAGTTGGATATAAGTAGATAAGATTTAAAGAAATGTTTTACTAATTTTTTTTAACAGTCTAAAATATTACTGAAGCTGTTTTTCTTTTCTGATTAAAAGCTTACTGTTTCAAACCATGATGTTGTCACTTACTAAATTTTAAATGATATCAATAGTTAGAAAGTCGGCAAACTTACCACCTTATTATTCGCTTGATGTCCAAGTGTTGTCTTCTCCGTTGATATAATCTCGTTTTAGTATAACCTAGAAAAATGTATTAGCCGTGATATTTTTTGTTGTTGTTGATAATGATTTGGACCAATTTGCCTGCAGGCTAAACAGCAGTTGAATCTGCGTACACATATGGCTGATGAGAATAAAAATGAATATGCTGCACAGTTACAAAACTTTAATGGAGAACAACACAAACATTTCTACGTAGTGATCCCTCAGATTTACAAGGTAAATTTTAGATATATGAAGTTAACTCAGTTTTAGAGTTGGAAGTGCTAGTCTGTAAGTGTAAAACTTAACTGTAAAGTTCCAGACATGAGAATGTTTCTAGATTCACTAGTCATTAAGATTGGTGATAAGAGATTTTTTTATGGGTATAGATTCAAAAAGTAAGTTTTTGCTAACTTTTAAATCACAAGTTTTCCCACAGATTTATTATTAGTGTTATAAACAGTTCACTAAAACAGTAACATTTCTGAGATAACTTTAATACAGTATCGTTAAATATTTGCCACGATTTAGGGGGAACTATTGAAATTTTGTGTTGTAATTTGTTCACCTAGAATGGGGATTTAGCCTTTTGACACCATACCAGAATTATTGGCATTAGTCCAGGTGCGAGAAATAAGCCTTATAAAATGTATTTACTAGCCCAGTTTTTGTATGCTTATCTTCCTGAGTTTTGTCAGATCATAAATGTAATTCAGGCCTTGAGCTTGCTTAGAAATCCTGTCCATCGTCGCTTGATGATAGCACTTGCCAAACAGCCCCAGGTAGAAACTCCAGAATTTACGTGAGGGTTAAATTATGTTACTACCTATTCTAGAAAGAAGAGAAATTAGGAAAAAGGGGTTTAGTGAAAGTGTTGTGTAAGGTAGTGTCTAGGAGAGCAGCGCTTATGTTGAAGGAGTGTCAGTTCAGGTATACTTTTTTCTTTGTAAGGGAAGTTAGAAGTACAAAGGAAGCACAGTGAGAGTTGGTGGACTAGGGTTGGGTATCAGGTTCTGGTCATTTAACCCAGAGCTTCAAGCCTGCCTGTCCTTACAGTGTGGTGCTTTCCCAGGTTTACTGGCTAAGCCTTCATATTCTGGGGAGGCCCTAACCTGGAGATAAACTACCTTCTGTATTTTGGAGCTGATCCTTTTGTTTGGTCCTTGCTGTAGAGCAGTTATGCCATTTTATGATGCTGAGGCACACTTCTTTTGTGAAATGCAGGTCTCAAAATAAAACTCTTAAGCTTTAGGAAGTAGTTACAGAGGAAAAGTGGTATGAAGACTGGGCAGTGTAGTTGCTTCTTAGTAGACAGAAAGATCAGTGTGTTGGTAAATAGGAAATGCCAAAAAATACCTTTAAGTTATTGGGCTTCCTGTGTCCCAGCATATTTCATAGTAGCACGTGCCAATGAATTTTTAAATTTTGGAGATCCCATATATGTGCCACTTTGACTTTGTGCTTCCTGTTTTTCCTCTTGTGTCCCTAAGCCTTAATTATTAAATAGTTACTCTGAGCTGTAGACTGTGGTAGGTCTGTGTACCTCTTGGTATGCAGACAGTTGTGGAGCCTTGTCCAGCCAGGTCTTAACAAAGTAATCTGAATTTACTTAAAAGATTAGAAGTTTCAGATTTGTATGTGTTATAGGTCAATTGTTGTGGGGTGGGGGGAAGAAAAGAAAGCTCCAGAATTCCACCTTCAAATGAAACTGTTCCTGAAAGTAAAAACAAGTACTGCTGTGATTGAAGAGTGAAAGGTAAGGGTAGTGTGGGGCAGGGAGCAGGTAGACTGTAAGGTGTCCCTTTAAGAAGGCTTAAAAGCCAGTACCACCTGGTTTTAGGATTTACTGAAAGCCACTGTCACCTAATTTTAAGTACTAAAAGCCTTGATTTTTTTTTCTTCCTTCCATTCTTTTGCTATTCAACAGACCTCAGGTTTAAAATATTTTAAGTCTGTAGCACTCATTAAGAGGTATTATTAACAAGAACCATGTGACTATTAGGATAAGAAATCTAATTTTTGGGTGGGGGGGAGGAGTCATTAACTGATCTCTTCAATTTTCCTTTTTTAAAACACTCTTTATTAGCAACTACAAGAAATGGATGAACGGAGGACTATTAAACTCAGTGAGTGTTACCAAGGATTTGCAGACTCAGAGCGCAAAGTTATTCCTATCATTTCAAAATGTTTGGAAGGAATGATTCTTGCAGCAAAATCTGTTGATGAAAGAAGAGTAAGTACTATATAATTATCTTTGAATAATTATATTTGGTTTAGGTATGTAATTTAAGTTTGTAAAATGAGTAGGGAAAGGAGTGAAGTACTCTTACAGGTGGTTTATTCTAAATTATATCTGTAGAAGAAATTATTGAAATAGGTTGGAGTGATTAGCCCTTTGGACTCTAAGGATCATTCTAAATGCTAACATTCTGATTCTTAAAAAGTTCTAACTCCCTTCCCCACTAGTTTTTTCAGTTCTACTCCAAGAGAATAACTAAACTCTGAATTGTGTGTTACCAACTGTGTCATACTACTAGTCTAGTGAAAGCTTAGAGAAGAGAATGGTCAGAGAGGCCTAGAGTTGTCAGAGTTGCCTTTAACACACAAGTTGGCAGTTGAGCTGGATCTTAAAGCATGGGTAGTTTAGGGAATAATGACCCATGAGGAAGAGGGAGGGAGGCATTATGAGTAGAGCTCCAGAATTATAGACCTCCAAATTATCAACTCCTTGAGGAAGTATATCTAATCACATTGTATTATTCATCATTGATGAAGATCTAGCAGAGTCTTTTACCTGGTCATTTCTCAGTAAATGTTGATTGAGTGACCAAAAAGCATGGTTAGCAGAAACTGAGGATATAAGGGAAGAGCAAGAGAAGAGAACCAGTGTTTATGGAGTGCCAGTTGCGTACCACACATTGCATTTTAGATTCCATAGCAAGCCTGTCAAGTCAGTATTATTTAGTGAGAAATACTGCAAGTGGATACCTTCAACAAAGAGAAATTTATTCTCTCACAGCCTAGTAGGTTACGAGTCCAAATTCCAGGCGTCAGCTCTAGGGGAAGGCTTTCTCTCCCTGTCGGCCTTCTCATCAGTGTTCCCCCCGACTAGGAGCTTCTCCCCGTGGGGACCCCGGGTCCAGAGGACATGCTCTGCTCCTGGCACTGCTTTCTTGGTGGTATGAGGTCCCCTAGTCCCCTACTCTCTGCTTGCTTCCCTTTCCTTTTATCTCTTACAAGAGATAAAAGGTAGTGCAGGCCACACCCCAGGGAAACTCCTTTTGCATTGGATCAGGGATGTGACCTGATTAAGGGTGGTGTTACGTTTCCACTCTAATCCTCTTTAACGTAAAAGTACAATCACAAAATGGAGGACAACCGCACAACCCTGGGAATCATGGCCTAACCAAATTGGTACACACATTTTTTGGGGGACACAGTTCAATCCATGAAAGGTTCCTTCCTGTAAGAAATAATAGAATCCTAATTCAAATTAACTTGAGTGAAGAAAAGAGAATTTTAGGCTTCTGTAATTGGAAATTCCAAGGTGCATTTATATTTGGGTATGGCTGGATCCAGGGTTCTATTGACAGGACAGTTGAGTCCCTCTTCCTCTCTCTCCTCTTCCTCTTTGTTCTTCTGTCTCTGTCTCTTTCCTTACTGCTTAGCAAATGATTGCCAGGGGTGGCATTAGTGACAAAAGTAAGGTATGACTTAAGGATGACTTTTGATTAAATGACAGAAATAAGGAACAGGAGGAGAGGTGGTTAGGAGTAGGAAGGAGTTTGTGGAAATAAGTAATTCTGTTTGAAAAGGAGTTTTAAGATGTCAGTAAAACATTCAGATAGAGATATGTTTGTCCAAAAACATATGGTATTTATTTGCATGTTAAGTTTTAGGTCAACAGTATTAAACTTTATGTTTTTAATTTTCAGACTTGTATTTTGTTTTCAGCACTGTGAGATCTTTCCCTGTTGCTCTGTTAGCATTCCACAGGATATCTTTACCATATTTTATTTATCATTCATCCTGTTGGATGAGTGAAAGCTTTTCTACTCATCTGTTACAGTGCTCTTTCCGATGTTCCAAATAAAGGCCGTCCCTTAAGGCCAAAAACCTTTTTCCTTTGAAGCGTCTCAGAATTTCTACTTGAGAACACTCTCTTACTATAGGCTTCTTGTCAGTTAGGTCTTTCTTACTGGCCATTTAGTCCTCAGATGAATTTCAGTGGTTTAAACATATACTGAGTGAAAACATTTTATGAATATTACAGATTAATAAAGTGATAATTTGTAAGTTTGTATATCTTGGGGATTAAAATATTTAGGGCTTGTTACAAATTCACAGATGAAATCATTCACTTTAAACCTTTAATGATTATTGTAGAGCTATTTCTTTAAATTTTTGTTTTCTCGCAGTGATAAAGTTTGGAAAGCTGGTGTAGATAGTTTTAAAGACTTAATATTTCTTGTTATAGGACTCTCAAATGGTGGTAGACTCCTTCAAGTCTGGATTTGAACCTCCAGGAGACTTTCCATTTGAAGATTACAGTCAGCATATTTATAGAACCATTTCTGATGGGACTATCAGTGCATCGAAACAGGAAAGTGGGAAGATGGATGCCAAAACCACAGTAGGAAAAGCCAAGGGCAAGTTGTGGCTCTTTGGAAAGAAGCCAAAGGTAAAAGTCATAAAATTCTTATATGCTAATCAGTTTTTTTTTTTAAAGTACATCAGTTAAACCAATGTAGGTATTGAATGGATAATGATTTACTATTAATGGAGGATAAATATTTTCAATTTAATTGATTCAGTTAACTTCTTACTTGTTAGAAAACATAGTTTTATACTTAAGAATAAAAAATATTTCTGGATATAACATTTGACCACCACTGTAATGAGTAAGAGTATTAAATCATTTGTTAATATCTACTTAAATTATGCTTTTGAAATTTCATTTATGTACAGTTTCAATCAGAATTTCTAAGGAAACTTTATGATCCAACTAAAAGACCACTAAAATTGGAATTCTCAGTTGGAATGAATGAGCAATAATAAATTGCTCACAGCATGATGAATGGCAAATTAGGTCTTCTAGATCTTACTAGTAAAATTATTTTTATCATCCATATAAATTTTTAATGGGAAGAATTTAAGGTTCTTGGTTAATTGAAGTTTAAAAGATCTCTACTATGACAATTTTACTCTTGTTAGAAGTACTTTTGACTGGCCGTTTATTCTTTTTTTTTGATAAGCTGTTTATTTTGGATAGATAAATCTAGCTCAGAAGGCAAGCAAATAGAATAGATGAGTGCTTTATCTTTCTTGTCAATTTAGTGATTGTAATAGTAGGGAGGATAGATACTTCCAATCTGCTGTACCGTATTTATTATTTATAAAGTATACTTGATTCTTTTAATTATTTTTCAAGATCTTGATATATGGGTGTAGAGAAAATTAAAATCTAACTCAAATTGTAATATACTTCTAAATATCTTTAAAGGCACAATTGTACTAACTCAGGCTTTATTCATGTTTTTAATGACATTGTCCAGTTGAGAAGTCGAGAGATGAGACCTTTTCCAGTCAGATCAGAGTAACTAGGAGAGCTTAGAAATATAAGGAATACTGAAACAAAAAACCAAAAAGGAGTGAAATCAGGATGAAATAGAAGCAGTCTGAGAGGAAAGCCACAAATTTAATGAAAAGTTTCTGGCTGTGTGTGGCAGTCAGTCTTGGTTGTATTATTTTACATATGACATTGCCGTTCAGATCACTTCAGCTGTGGCCGCTGCCTCTGTGTCTGACAAGTACATATTGAGTGTAAGTAACTAGAAATTAGAAGAACATTGTTATCTGGGTCATATTCCTCTCTCTAACATTATAATTTGTGTATTCTGTATTTCTCATCTCTCGGTTTGTAAGAAATGATCAAATGAAATGGTACATTTTTTAAAGTAAATTTGACTTTTTAAAATGAAGTTTTTGGCAAAACTTACGTTAACTTTCTTATAACATTTTTATACAAAACTTTGAGAGATATTTTGTGAAAAGTATGTTGCCAAAAATAGAATTTTCATTTAGGAAAAAGCTATGCACATTTGGCTTATTGATTCCTTTCTTTATTTCCGTATTAGCCACAGTCCCCACCCTTAACCCCTACTAGTTTATTCACATCCAGTACTCCTAATGGGTCCCAGTTTCTCACATTCTCCATTGAGCCCGTGCATTATTGTATGAATGAAATAAAAACAGGGAAGCCCAGAATTCCTTCTTTCAGAAGCCTCAAAAGAGGGGTAAGTTTAATAATGGGTTAAAATGCATGATGGCCTATTGTGTGTGTAGTGTGGCTTTTAATACTCTCCACCCTCATTATAAGGCTCTCTCCTTTAAATACATAGTTAAAAAAACCCACAGAATTAAGTATAGCTGCCCTCAAGTTGAAAACAACTCCTCTTTATAACATTTGAAATCTTCAACCATAAAAAAATGGTATTATAAAGAGGGTGCTGGGTACAATCATATTTTAGCTTTTTTTTTTTTTTGTTTATGTGAAATCATATGTCCACCATTGTCTTGTAATGTATTTACATTTTTAAGACTTTCAGTAATTTATCACTAGAGTTATTTGTCACAAATGTAATAATTTGTCACAAATTCTGACTTCTCTTGCCGATTTATAAAATAGTATTTTGTTGACAATAATAGTATTAAGCTCAGTTTTAATTGCCCTACTTTTAGAAGCAATAAAACACAATTTCCAGTAGTTAATAAAAAATTAAAGATAGGCATGTTAAGTATCAGGATTGTGGATCGAATTAAGATAATATATTAGAAGGTATTTTGTAAATTGTAAAACCTATAAAAATGCTAGATATTATTGAGCAATATTTACATGAAATTTGTTTTCTTGAATTAAAAAAAGGTAAATTTTACTAGAATTTTCCCTTTATTCTATTTTTAAAAATTGGCTAGCTTTTAGCATTTACGCATTCCTATAAGACTACTCTGCAAATGAAAATTTTTAGAATAGTAAAAAGCAAATACTAAACTGTTTCTTAGAAACAACTGTTATACTACTGATGAATAAATTAGTGTTATTCCATTATGTTAGTGAGGCTGATTTCTCTTGTTTATGTTTGATTTTAAGAGCATGTTTTCAGTATTCACAGCTCATAATTTAAATTCATTTATAAGATTTGTTTGGACATATAAAAAAACAAAGGTGTGTGATAGCCTGCAGATAAGAAATCAGAATCTACCAGTGTCGTAAGAAGTGTAATCATTAAGAGAATCCTGCATTATAATTGGATTCTCTTTCTTCCCTCCTTCCCTCCCCCCTTCTTTCTTTTCTTCCTCCCTTCGTTTCTCATTTACTTTTTGTAGCCCTTTCTATCTTCAAATTGCATTAGTTGGGTTTCTGTTTTGGCCACGTGTTGAGCGAGATACATTAATTTAGGGCAAGATTGCTTTATTATTTCTATTTTCATGAAAACAGCGACAAACTTAGCTGATGTTCAGTAATGCAGCAAAAATGTCCCACTGTGTTACGTCCTTTTTTGGACTGACTTTTGTCTTCTATTGACACGAACGTCTCCATGTCTACCTTACCTAATTCTGTATGTGGATGATACAGGCAATTGACGACATTTTGAAAAGCCTCTGTGGGTAAGTTTGTATTATACCTCAGGCATTACAGAGTGCCTGTAATCACTTTTAAAAGCCCTTAAAACTTGTTTAAAAGACTTTAAGAAATCATATTTTGTATTTCGATTGCCTGAATTATGAGGGTAGAATTAATTCCTATGTTGCTTTTGTATGTCAGTTTAGATGACACTAAATACTGTGTTGTTATATAAATTATTATGAGAAGTTACTACTTAGTTGCCGTATTTTTGTGATTGTTTATGGGTCCTACATATTGAATTTGCCAGGCCAGTTATAGTATCTGTACGTAGTATAGTCATAGGGATATGAAGTAATTATAATCCTATGGAAAAAAAAGTTTAGGCAAGTAGAACTGTGAACACTTGAGAGAGAAGCTTAAATGTGTGACATCTTTATTCTTATTGAGTAAGTTTATGGGTATAACTGCAGAGCTTAAAACTGCTTGGTTATTATTTGTTTTATTTTCATGTATTTCTTTAATCCTAAATAATTAATACATTGTTTTTACGGGGGCCTATTTGTAAAAGGCCAGAATCCTCCCAGTTTAATCATTAGTTTCCATGCCAAAGAAGAAAGCAGTATGCAAGATATAAAATAGGACAGACAGACAAATGAACTAAGGGATTGGGGGATGGAGCAGGGAGGAAAGCTTATTACAACTTTGGAGTTGAGAAATTTCTTTCTGTTTTGTTTGGTACTTGGTAGTTTACTAGATATTATTTCAAAATTAACCCATACAGGTGTTTTCCTTCCACTTAAGAGTTTTTCTCTATATAGACTAATAAAAAAAAAAAAAGAAAAAGAATGAAAGAAGGTGTGCTTTAATATGCCGATTTATATGTTTTTACACGGATTAAAATGTATTTTTCAGTCCATTAAGCTTTCAAAATAAGTCTTGAGGTTTCTTAAAGCCACGTTGTACCATTCAATTCAGAAACTCTTGTTTTTAAGCTATTTTTATTAGAGATTGTTTTTCCTAGATACCTGTTCTTTTGCTTTTCTAAAACAGTTTTTTTTCCCCAAAGGAAGACTAGTGTATTGGTCCCCACTAACAGTAAGGATATGAAAAATATTAGATTAATATTTTCAGTTTAACAGTGTTACCAGTAGAACTTTTCTGAGGGACAAAGGTATAATTTCCTTCTGTGACATCAAATTCTAACTTTTAATGCATATTTGGGGGCACACCTAAACTTAACTACTTAATATAGAAACTAGTAACTTTTACTCTGTAACTACTTCATTTAAAATGCCTCACTGAGTACTCCTGTTTTTAAGTAACAGATTTATCTAGCAGTAAGTCCATGTCTTATGTCTAGATTATTCATAAGTTTATGAACTCCAGGAGTTGTTCTTCTAAGCTTTTCTTTCCAGAGTACAGTTCTCAGGATTTTGGCCTATCTTTAAATGAAATAACAGCTAATAATTTTAATTGTTTAACTGATACTCTTTTTAGCTCCATTGTTTATTTATTAAGGTACAGTGAGGATACGAAAATAGGTATAGTCATGTGATAATTGTGTGTGAGAGTAAGATATTTTTGTATTGAACATGTGCTTCTTTTTTTAAAAGGGCCGAAAAATGTAGTATTTTTATAAAGAACTTGATTTTTTATATCTCCAAATCTAAGATTAATGAATGTAAGTTTATTTTCTAATTAATAATAAAGCTAGATTAGCTGAAAACTGAAACATTTGATATTTCACCTATAGTTATCTTAATCTCTCCTCTAAAATATATTATTATAGAAATTAAAAGTATAATTTGCATCACTTAGAAATTTTACTGATGAAAATTACTATATAAGATACACCAAATTCAAATATATTATGTATTTTGTTTCTTGTTCATATCTAATTTTGTTTTGATAACATTTAATAAAGACAATGCATATCTGTCTTTAATTTAAACCTTTTTATTTCCTTAGCAGGTATTTTGTCATAGCTAAACAAGTTATGGTTTTTGTTTCCAGAAACTACTGACAGTCTAAAGAATGTTAAGCTTAATTTGGAAAGATAATGGATAACAAATGTCATCTTTTCCTATCATCATAACCATTAATACATATGGCCAATTCATCATAGATAAGGGGTAGATATTTTTGTCAGATATTTATTAAAATTCATTCATATTTTTTATGTAAAATTCTACCTGACATCCCTCGACCCTCTCTAAAACATCATGATTTAGAAAACAGAAATATAAAAAATTTTAGAGGCTGCCAATACCAGTGATCAGTGTGAAGATTAACTTTGTAAAGCTCCACTGCATATTCTGGGCAGCTGAGTGTATGTGTGTATGTGTGGTATCTGTCTGTTTGTGTGCCTGTGTGGTTTAAATTGGAATAGCTGCAGACGCAATGCCAGTTTCAGAATCCTACTACCCACATAACACAGAAGTGGGTCAGTTACACATGTGGTGTATATACTGTATGTGAGAGCATGCTGATTGCTCCCTTCAGATTATGTATCATTTCCTATTTTCAGAAAGAATAAATCTTAATCAATTTTCTAAAAATTAAAGCTTTATTTTTAGTGTTGCTTTTTGGGCGCGTGGATTTAAGAATAAAAACTGAAAAATAGAAACTTTATTTTTAAAGCAAAATTCAACCTATATCTTTGTGTCTTTTAGGAAATATGTCTGGGAAACTTGAATGTGGGTAACTCATTTATTTATTTTGATGATAAAAAACAAACCTAAAACTACTAAAGTATAAACGTTTCCCTCACCTAACCATGACACATTTAAATTCAGAACCATAGTTTGAACTATAAAAATTCAGATAATGGTGTTTTACTTAATGCCTTTCTCAATATTTCACATAGGATTTCTTTTAAAATGGCAAATATTAGATCTTTCATATTCAGCTTTTCAAGTATTAGTATTTTGAGAATGAAGAGTTAAGTAAAGTCTATTTATATAGAAATTCTCTTAAGAGAAAAAAATGCATTCCTGAAAGAAAGATTACCATTTACTTTTGAGTTTTAATTAGTTAAAATTAGAAAATATCTGCCCATTATCATCACTGTATGCTTTTTTTTGCAAGTTATTTACTTTCCCAAAAATGTGCTTAAAATTGTTTTTCTGGCATAATTATTTGGATTGTGAAATGTACATGATTTATTTTAATATAGTGAAAAGAAGTATAGGTTATTGCATCTTCTATATTATTCATGTGAATAATTTACCATTTCTTTCTGTTTTCCATTGAACTATTCAGTGGTCGGTGAAGATGGTAAGCCTTATGTGCTGATCTATATGCTATGCCAACATTGAGTACTCTCAAAACATTGTTTTGTTTAATTTTAAAAAAGCTGTAAAAGTACATCTACACATTTTCACCTTGTATGTGTTTTTTATTTTTATAATTTAATCCATATTCCAGCATATATCAGTACCTCTTGATGTTACAAAATTTGAAAATAATGCGGTTAACTGTAGTCAACTCGTTAAATTCTTAAATGTTATTGGGTGGAGTCTTTGTCATATTAGAGAATAAACTTATTGGTAAATATTATTTTTTTATAGTTTCATGATAGAACAAAAGTTTAAGTTTTACACAGAAGAGAAATTTAACAAAAATGATTTTTTTACCCCCTTTAAGAAAAGCATATGAATTTGATTTTTAGTTTATCACAAGAATCATTAGCTTTTCCAAAAGTAAGAAAGATAATTTTCCTACCAATTTCATTATAGAGTCAATGCTACTTATATATTTTTGCACTGTTGAAGGAGAATAGAAGCACAAATAATCTAAAATTGTGTGCTTGTGTGTGTGTGTGTGTATGTGTTTGGAATGTTTCTTTGTACATTTATTTCAACCAAATTAGTGAAAGTACATTATGGAGACCTGTCCCAGAAATTATTGGTGCTTGTGTAGTTTCTCATTTTTTGGAAAATAGACCGCTGTTTCAGACTGTTGCAATTGGGCCTTCATGAATTCCTTTGTAGTAGGAGAGTTGGTTAAATACCTCAGAGGGCTTTTTTACAGCCAGAGGAAATAGAATGAGTTTAATTCTCATATTCTATGTAAGAATAGGTTATAATGTCAAAATGGGATATTAGAAGTCCAAGTGCTAAGGTATTTTACCGTTAATAAACTTGAGAACAAGGTTTGACTAGGGATAAATAGAAATCTGGACAATTTACTTGTAGGTGGTGGTGACTTGATGACTTTATTATATAACCGAAAAATGTATTGAAATAAAACTTCTTAATTTCATTAAATAACTTTTCAAAACTTTTTAGAAGTATTTTTTAAAAATATAAATGAGAAAGTTTTATCTTTGACATATATTGTAATAGTTTTCAAAACCTGTATCCCAAATTAGATTAAATCTGACAGTTCATGTTGAGAATTGACTACTATATTTAAAGGTACCTCATGTAGGAAATTGTATACATTTATTTAGGTCAGATTTGGCTGATTGATAGATTCTTATTCTTGGTAGACTAGAAGATGGAAAAAACAAAAGCACTTAGACAGAATGCCCTACGTTTTCTAGTCAGGCTTGTTGAATGCCCATAATGTGCACACCACTGGGGATAGATTATATCGATTCTGTTATTATTTATATGTTACATTTGATTATGGCTCATCCTGAAAGTGAGTTTTCTCGTTCTCTCTCTCTTTTTGTAAAGTAAGTGAAGCATTCTTATAGACAGTGAAATAAAGCTATTTGTTGTATGTTATAGGCATAAGTGGCCCAAAGAAAAGAATGCCCATGTACATTTGTTTTGGGGTTCATATCAGCAGCACTTCAAAAATTGTAGTTGTATATTCTTAAAATCAACATTTGGAAAAGAAAAATGAAGTATGATAGATGCCATCAATTTTTGGAGCATATAAAAGCTTAAGTAAACACAAGTATTTTAAATGGAATCAGTAGTTGCCAGTATTGAGTCTACTGAGTAATCTTTAATAGCATAGCTAAAGTAGTTGATTAAAATAACATTTAAGGGAAGAAAATAACATTTAAAAGGGAAAAGACATAATTTAAGTCGGTTTTATATCCAAATGCTGGCCCTTTTTCTTAAATTTCGTAGTTTCTTAAATATCAAAGCATTAAAAAATTTCAAACATCAAGCATCCTTCCTGAAGAAGTATTACACCTTTCTTTCAGGAACAACTGAGGTATGTTATTTAGTTGTACAAAAGGATAATTGAAAATAGACTCCATGTTGGAATATAATTTCTACTTACATTTCACTCAGTGGATAGTTCTGCCTTTTGTTTTTTTAATGATCAGATATGTTTTGATCTGAATGATGGTTTAATAAATATAATCTTTCAAAGACTATGGAGTGTAAAGTATATTTTATTAATTAGATTCCCTTTATGAGGTAAGTTGCTTACTTAACTGAAATTATGTAAACTCTTATTTTCAGTTTGACATTTGTAATATTCTGAATATCATAGCAATGGGTTTGATTTGGGAATTTGGTGGTACGTTATAAATAAAACAGTTATTTGTATAGATGAGAAATGTCATGTGTTTCCATGTTGTTGTTGTTGTTGCTGTAAGAAGGTTCATATGTATGTGTTCATTTTAACTCTGCCAAGACTTGAAAATGATGTGAATACTGGTCTTTACCAGTTCTGTATCTGATATTTTTACCTCTTCTGTTTCATCATTTTATAAAATGACTGAAATTTGAGCTTTTTCTTCAGTTGAGTTGTTTGAATTAATGTACACACGTACACATCTATGTAGTTTTTTTTTTTTTAATGGATTGGGGCTAATTTGAATTTAAAATTGGTATATATTCTTTTTATATGGTGGGTATATTAAAAGAAATAAAATTTCTTGAAAATGTCTTTTATAATGATACAGATTCTCTTTTCAGGGTCCAGCACTAGAAGATTTTAGTCATCTGCCACCAGAACAGAGACGTAAAAAACTACAGCAACGCATTGATGAACTTAACAGAGAACTACAAAAAGAATCAGACCAAAAGTATTTTCCTCTCTACTATTATTATTCCTTTCAGGGTCTACTTTGAATGATGTGTTTAAATGCGATGTTTGTAAGGTTTAAAAATCATACATTGTAATTGAAATATCTTTTGAGGGGAAAACATATTCCTAAACTTTGAAAAATTCTATGGTTGTCATGTCACAATTAAAAATGACAGGGAATTTTAGTTGCAGGTTTTTATTGGATGCTAGTAGTGTATATTTCTGCCTTCCATAAATTTGCGAAATAGCTTGATGATTCATTATCAGGAATAGTTAAACCAACACTAACCACCTCTTATACTTTGATAAATTTTCATTTTGCTTTGGTGTGTTAATTGAGATTAATAGCAACTTGAGGCTCTAATTATTTTGTTTGCAGCAAAACATGTTGGCAAACAGTACTTGATTACTCTTTGCGTCATATTTGTTCACTCATAGCTTTAATTTTTTTTTGTTTTCATTTTTAGCAAAAAGCTGTTTTAGGTCTATATTTTTAATTCAGGTAGGAGAGCTATTTATAATTTTTTAAAAATTGATATAGAAGCTCTGTTAAAGGGTTTTTACAGTGGGTTGCTGGCTTACTGTCTACATTTATGCTGAAGATAAAATTGGGGCTTAAACTCTAGCATGAGTGACTGCAGTTTTGATGTAGAGAATTGTGCATCAGCTGTGATTATAAATTAAATATTACAATATTAGTACAAACAATTTTTAAAGTAAAAGTATTTTTTACTAGAGCAACTTATAGTCTCTGGAAAATTGCAACATTTAATTTGATATTTGATATTTACCATATGTAGTAGACTGTGTCAGGATTATGAAGATAGTCCCTGATTCTAAGAGGTTCACATTCTAGTTTGGGGAAGAGAAGACTCAACAAACGACTAATTTTTGCACAGACTGAATTGTGTTGGCTGGCTAATAGACATATAAATAAAATGTCAGCAGTTCCTGGGTGGCGTAGACGGTTAAGCACTTGGCTACTAACTGAAAGACTGGTGATTTGAGCCCACCCAGAGGCTTCTCAGAAAAAAGTTCTGGCAATCTCCTTCTGAAAGATCACAGCCACTGAAAACTCTATGGAGCGCAGTTCTACTCTGGCACACGTGGGGTTGCTTTGAGTCAGAATCAACTTGATGGCAACTGGTTTGGTTTTTTAAGGGGAACCTAGAGGAAAGAATGATGAATTTCTACTAGGGTAATTAAAGACTTCACTAGAGAAGGGGATTAGGGAAGAGGGAGGGCAGTGGTATAGGACAGTAATGTTTATGGAGGGATTATTAGGTACCAGGCATCGAGGTAGGCATTTTACGTGGCATATGTCATTGAATTCTTCAAAATAGCTCTCTGAAGTTGTTGTTTCTGTGTATAAATAAAGAAACAGAATCAAATAGATTTGTAATTTGTCTAAGATGGTAAATGTCAGAGTTGACATCCAGACACTAGCCAGTTTGTTTCCAGAGCATTGGAATTGGACCTTGATGGCAGAAGATTTTGCCAGTTAGAGAAAGAGGTGAGGGAGGAGGAGTAGGTAGCATTCAGGGAAAAGGGGAGAAAAAAAAAATAAAGGCACAGAAACGTGAATGTTCTTGCCATGACCTGGAATCAGCTGTAATCCAGGGAGACTTGATAAGAAATTATATGGATTGGAATGGCAGAAGATAATGATGAAAAAGGTATAGCATGAATTATAAAAAGTCTTGAATGCTTTTCCGTGGAGTTCAGTAGGTATGGGAAATTGCCAAAAGTTGTTGTGAGAGGGGGTGATATTATCATCTCTATTCTAAAGAAAGGTAATTGAAAGCTATGTGAAGAGTAGAGTGAATGGGAAAGAGATTGGAGGCAGAGAGATCAGTTAGGGGATATTTTAATAATCCAGTTAAGAGATGATTAGAACCTAAATTAGGACATGGAAATAGAAAGGAATAAATACGAGAATAATTTCAAAGGCATTAGTGGGTTAGACTTTCTGCCTGATTGATGTCTGAGAAGAGAAAAGTGGAGGAGTAAAAAAAAGAAAAAAAGATTTTTAGCTCACAAAAGTGAGTAGATAAAGAGCTCATTGAAACAGTGAGAAAAAAATAAATTTGGGGTAAAGATGGTTTTATTTATGTTGATCATAAAAAATCCATATGGAAGTGTCCAGTTGGGTTTTGGAACTGTGAATCTAGAGCTTTATGAGAGAAAGAGGACTAGAGATCCATTACTGAGAATCATCTGAAGATGTTGTTAGGTGCCATCGAGTTGGTTCCGACTCATAGCAACATTTGTAGGTAGGTGATACTAAAACAATAAGAAATCATCCTTGAAAAGGAGTGTAGGATGAGATAAGAAGAAACTAACACTTATTTAAAGGCTGAACAGAAGAGGAAAAGGAGAGCCAGTGAGGGAGATTTCGAGAAAACAGAAGTGAGGAGAAGGAAATAAGAAAGTGTAAACTCTAGAGTCCAAGAAAGAAGAGCAAGGATGGGTTACTCAGTAGACAAAGTAAGTACTTGCTTAGGACATCAACAAAATAGGCACCAGTTGTCCAAAGCAAAGACCCATAGATGCCAAGCAGACCGGACACAAGGAAAATTGAGAGCCACAGTGGAAGGGAACTGGCAGGGCACTAAATAAAACTGATACCAGCTCCAGTGCATTAGAATGTGCTGGCCAGAAATAAAGTTCATGCAGGATCCCGAGGGCACCCACATGAAAGGTTGTTTAAGCTAAGAGGCCCCTACCACTTCAACACCTCTTCATTAACATCTGTCTCCCACAGTCCCCTCTCATGTAATTGAAACTCCTTATCTCAGCAGGTCTCTTGAGTATACTATTTCTTTCTAATAAAAAAGAGGTGGGATGGACTGTCAAGTCTGACTCTTGCTTCTTTCACCCAATGTGCATCTGGATCCAACATGAGCAGTTACTGGGCAAGGATGAATTATATTAATAGATAAGAGGTCTCTGTTCCATTTTGAGAGAACTGTCTTGTACATCTATGTCTGCTGATCTAGCAGCTCCATCCAGGAGGGCCACCAGTGCTCTTCGCCATGATACAAGCACAAGGGTATGCACTTGCTCACGTCATGGTAAATAACCAGTGGGAACTCCAGTCCCAGATGACGTGCAACAGCAGGGGAACTCAAATAAGCCGACCATTGCAATGGATTCAGTCAAGTTACTTTTTAACCATAGCATTTATGTACAGAGTTACATCCTAGATTTTATAAACAATAATATTTATAACCTAACTTCATGTTTGGCATACACACAGATGCAATCTAGCATGCATTCAGTGTAATTCTAACATGGGTAGTGATTTAATGTAATACTTAAGTCACATTTAAAAAGAAGTTATGCCATGGATAGCTAAGACACGTGTGTATATACATATATGTGTGTGTATATACACACACACGTATAACTCACATATCCCATTTGGATGGGTAAGTGGGGGAGGGACACCACAGATTTATCAGTGTTTAGGGTCCTAACATGCCTTAATCTGGCCCCAAGGAAGAGTATTATGGAGGGTTAATCAATAGTGTCAGATATTAGAGAGAATTACGGACAGCTGATTGAGGCATAATCTATTGTAAGAAGAGGTGATGGGTTAAGAGGAACTGCAAATGACTGAATTTAGAGGAAGAGGGGCAAGTTAAAGATGGCATTCCTATTTCTAGCATAGATGAGTAGGAGGAGGATGACGCTATGAACTGAGATAAGGAACAGGGTGGAATAATATGACTGGGTGGGAATATAATGTTTGATTGGGAATGTGATGAGTTTGGGAATATTCTTCCAACCCTTGATTGAACCTATATGTGTATTGGATGTATGTATGTATGTGTGTATATACATATACATACATATGTATATATATATCCCCTCATTTAGGAAGTGAGAAATGACTTTTTTTTTAATTTGGATGGGGAGGTGATATTTCACATCTTTTAAAGGACTGTCTTCATAAATTACTAACTGTTATCAGTTTATCCAGATTATCTTTAATCAGGTAATGTTTGACTAAAAGAGTTATGACTGTATTTAAGATTCTGCTTCATGTGAGCCCCCAAAATCGAATGACACTTTTTTATCTGGAAGCATATTAAAGTGAATATATAATTCTATGGTTTCCTTCTCTTCAGAGATGCACTTAACAAAATGAAAGATGTGTATGAGAAGAATCCACAAATGGGGGATCCCGGGAGTTTACAGCCCAAATTAGCAGAGACCATGAATAACATTGACCGCCTGCGAATGGACATCCACAAGAATGAGGTAGATTTGTTACTCAGCAATTACCTAAGATAAATTTGTTTTCGTAAACGTTGTTACGATAGGCTGATTTTTGCTACTATTACCTTCAAATATTTATTAAATTATAGGGCTTGTGATCTAAAAGTAAGGTGTCGTTATGGTATGTAATCTTTAGAGTTAATCCTTCATTGCACTTTTGTTTTTTTTAAAATTTAAGCGTTCATATAAAACTAAATATTGTACTGTTTTTGTTAGCTATAATGTTGATCATTGACTAAATTGAAATCAGTTCCCCTTCTCTAAGAAATACGTAATTATAAAAACTGAAAGCACGTTTTAAATGTATGCACTTTTAAAAATATTTATTGAGCTCAGTTATTTTTTTTTCCCCTAAGGCTTGGCTCTCTGAAGTTGAAGGCAAAACAGGTGGGAGAGGAGAGAGAAGACATAGCAGTGACATAAATCATCTTGTAACACAGGGACGAGAAAGGTCATTTTTTGCATATTGCTTATGTTTTTTCTTTTCCCCTAAACTTTTCTCACCCTTTTGTCTTAAACTTCATGCAGTTCTTTTTTCTTCCTCCCTAATTTACCAAGTTTGGCTTTTTAATCTCAGTCGTTTGAACCTAAGTGCTTTTCTGTTTCTTTAGCAATAGCTGCAGGTAAAGTATGAAATTTCATATTGCTATTTAATTCTAATATGTCATGCATCCAGAAATGGAGGTAGGAAGGTAGAATATTCTCAGAACTACAGTCTGGAGAATATTCTCAGAACTACAGTCTGGAGGGACATGCTTGCTCCTCAGGCATGGGAAGATTATCTTAAGGTTTAGGTGGAGTTGAGTAGCTTATGCTGAAGAAAAAATTCACTGTCAGATTGCTCAAAGTTCTGTGAAAGAAAACAATGTATATTGTTATTTTGGACCAGAGTTTCCTGCTAACTTTGTGTTTTTCACACCAGCTATGACATTTACCCACTTGGTATAATGTATCTTTTTTCATAATAAAATTTAAAAAATTAGGATTCACCTTAGAGAAAAATTTGAGAGACGTAGGTTCAGATCTTGGTTTACTACTTAATTATAGTGTAACTTGAGCAGTTTCTTCTTTTTAAAGGTTATTTTATTTCTTTTTTCATTTCATTTTGTTTTTTAGAGTGGTTTTAGATTTATAGAAAAACTGCATGGAAAGTACAGAGTCGCCAAATATTCCCTCTTCTTCTTCACAGTCTTAACACTTATACACATAGGGTTGCCATGAGTTGGAATCAACTTGACAGCAACAGGTTTTTATTTTTTATTTTTGTTTATTGTTGTAGTTTAAATGAAGTTTACATTTCAAGTTAGTCTCCCATACAAAAATTTATACATACATTGTTACGTGACCCTAGTTGCTCTCCCCAAACTGTGACAGCACACTCCTCCTTCCCACCCGATTCCCCATGTCCGTTCAACCAACTCCTAACCCTCTCTGCCGTCCCATCTCACCTTTCATACCTACCTGAGCTAAGAGGCACAGTCCTCACGAGTGTCACTTTATGTCCCACAGTCCAGTTCAATCCCTGTCTGAAGAGTTGGCCTCGGAAATCGTTCTAGTTCTGGGCTGATAGAGAATCCAGGGGCCATGGTTTGTGGGGTTCCTCCAGTCTCAGTCAGACCATTAAGTCTGGTCTTCTTAGTAGAATTTGAATTCTGCACCCCACCTTTCTCCTGCTCTATCCGGGATCTCTGTTGTGTTCCCTGTCAGGGCGGTCATTGGTGGTAGCCAGGCACCATGTAGTTCTTCTGGTCTCAGGCTGATGAAGTTTGTGATTTATGTGGCCCTTTCTATCTCTTGGGCTAATACTTTCCTTGTGTCTTTGGTGTTCTTCATTCTCCTTTACTCCAGGTGGTTGGGACCAATTGATGCTT